AAATCTGCAAGTTTTCAAGATTCTTCTGGCAGAAACGTTCTTTGGAATCATTTTCTTCTAAGGGCTGAAAAGCGTTTTCTAAGAGGCTTCCAGCTCTAAAAGTAACCTTTCTGATCTCAGGAAGAGCCAAGTTCAGCTTTTAACAGCACTGTGTACTTTCGGCACTAAAGAGAGAAGAGAAAGAGGAGCACAGCCAGACGCTGACACGCCCCAACTCCTTAAACTGTGGCTGGCAATCCACAGTGGGTCGTCTCACTGAATGTCCGGGCCATGGAAATCTGGCAATGGCTAAGAAGCTTTTAGAGCTGGGGAGACGGTACAGTTGGTGTCGCTGAGCTAGTACAACTGTCTGTTCAGATCCCCGGTACCCCCATAAGACGTCAAGCACGGTGGTGCATATCTGTAATCCAGTGCTGGGGAACTAAAGCCAGAGGATCCCTAGGGCACGCTGCCAGCTAGTCTACCACAATCAGTGAGCTCAGGCTTGTTAAGAGGTCCTATCTCCAAAGTAAGGTAGAGGGGCTGCAGAGATGGCTCAGTGGTTAATAGCACTTATGGTATATAATCAAACAGGACTTAGGTTTGATCCCTAGTATCCACATGGCGGTTCACAATCACCCATAATTCCCATTCCAGGACAGAGACCCGATGTCCTCTTTTGAACTCTGGGTACCAGGCACATATGTGATACACAGGCATACATGTGAGTAAATGACTCCTCCAACATAAAATGAGAAATGTGAATTTTAAGAAGTAAGGTGGAGAATTGAGGAAGATGTCTGGCAAATAACCTGTAGTCTTCACACACATGCACATATCCACATGCAGTTTCTGATGTGCAGTGAACAAAAATTACTGCAAAATCAAACGCACAGTGAATCTGTGGTAATTCTGGCAGCACTTGCCTGTGTGGCATGGCATAGCTTCCCTGAAGTCCTGAACACAGAGCATGTGTACGTTACATTGCACATACCGTCACTCCATACACCAATGATGGAAGTCTGAACCAACCTGGCTCGACTCTGAAATGTTACGAGTTGCAAGAGTTTTTTTTTTGCTGGACACACAAATTTTCCTGTTGCTATTGAAACATAACAGTTTAATTATGAAAAACAAAACACTATTTTTCTGATCATATCTCAGCATATAAAGTATTGAGTTAATATATTTGAGTTGTATTGTGTGTCCTGAAATGTTGCCATTTGAGTTGCTGGCTTGAGTTTCATTTTTTTAAAAAATCTAATGGATTTTGGTTTGGGATTAGGGCAGAATTTAAACAACTTCTGAAATGAGCCCTAAACATATATCTGCCATGATATATTTATATAAAGCAGCATTCTCAATATTCATTACTATAAAATCAAAACACTGGTGAATTCTGAAAAATGTTTAAGATGCTGTGAGTGCCTTAGTGAAAACCATTTGGCCAATTTTTATATGAAGATTCAATTCTTCATATAAAAATAATAAAATACCTTTATCTCAATAGGCAAATTTTACTTAGTCCTTAATAAGTGGTAAAATTATATGCATTCTGAGTCACTGTTTTAAAATATACTTCTCTATGATTTATTATCAGTACGTTTTTCATTTGTTCACCTATTCTATACATCTACATTCCAAGCATCACATAAAAATTTCTCTGGTGATGGGTTCATTGGGGCTCACAGAGACTGAACCAACAACCAGGGAGGCTGCATAGGACTGACCTAGGCCCTCTGCACATAGTTATAGTTGTGTAGCTTGGTCCTCTTTTAGGACTCCTAACAGTGGGAACAGGGTGCCTCCAACTCTTTTACAGGCTTTTGGGACCCTACTCCTCATACTGGGTCATCTTACCCAGCCTTAATACATAGGACGGTGCTCAGTCTTCCTGTTTTGTTGATACTCATGGGAGACCTGACCTTTCCTAAATAGAAATGGAGGAGGAGTGGATTAGGAGGTGAGAACAGAGTGGGATGGGAGGAAGGACTGGGAGAACAAAAAGAGGGATAACTGTGGCCTAGTTGTAAAATAAATAAATAAATAAATTTATTAAAGAATCTTCTCAGGTGAAAAAGGTCTCAAATAGATGAAGTTTAAGAAAGCCATAAACGGACACTCCTGCCTCAAGCTCTACATAATGATTGTGCTATTACACAAGAGGAAGGTCTCGTTTCTTTTTCCTTTAAGGGTAGAAAACACACACATCTGCCACATATATTAATGTAGTATTTAGTAATAAAAAACATAGCAACTCCCCTGTCTGCCAAAATAGAGCCATTAAAAAGAAAAAAAACTTTTCTGAACAGAAAAATTTCAATGAAAGCAAAATGGCTCAAAAGTCTGTAGCTTTTAGATTGCATTAAAACAACAGTAAATATTGCAATGTCAGCTAAAAATAATCTAAGCCAAAAATGTGTATTGGTCTGTAAGTGTTTGAACATTTTCATAGAAGGCAATTTTATCTCCACATATAAGATGAATCTATAGATTACTATGATCTCAAATGAATTTTAAAGTTTTTACTTTGTTATGAAATTCACAGGAAATCAGTCCCTTAAATAAATTATTAAGCATGTCAAATGATCTGTACAAACATTTTGAACTTGTCAAGACACATTTGCAGTCTAATAGGACAGTATTCCTGGGCTTTGAAGGTTACTTGGAGAAACACAAAGAAAGAAGCTAGAAGTTATGGAGGTCACTTGGAAATGAACACCAGTATAATGAACGACCAAAATAAACAGGAGATTATACCAGGATGTGGCAATGCCTTAACTCTGACCTCTAACCTTTGCACATTCTGGGATTACATGCCTGTTTTAAAACATTCTATATCACAGTTACCTGTCCCTATAACCTTTATCATTAACCGGATGTCTTCAAGTCTCATAATTCACAAATTTCAATTCCCACCCAACAACATATCCAAGAAGCCTAAGGCACCACCTTCATAAAAAGAAATCTAATGAGGGTATTGGGATTTATAACAGGGGGTTGGGGATTTAGCTCAGTAGTAGAGTGCTTGCCTGGCAAGCACAAGGCCCTGGGTTCAGTCCTCAGCTGGGGGGTGGGGGAATTTATAACAGACCACATTACTAAGAGCATGACCACAGGTAAATAGATAGCTTCTACATTACACTCTTGATAACTATTAAAACGATTAAAAAGGGTTATTTAAAAAAAACTTCCTTAATAAATGTATACTAATTCCCCATTTTTAGGCTTGATCTAATCCAAAATGCCAAGAAAGAATAAAGTCCCAAGTTGTAACATGTAATAAAAGCCCATTCTGTCGGGAACATGCATTCCCTTGTCTCTGAAGCTGCTCTCCAATATTTATTTAACCCATCATCTACAAACATATTAGTACAGTGAAGAATTAAACACGGCAAAAATACTCCATAGCTTCAAATGCATGCTCAGTCAAAAGAAAAAAAAAAAAACCAAGTGAAACAGGGCTCGAAGAGAAATAAGTCCACGTAATCCAAAACGCTCACACAATTATGTAGATAGGCGATTCCTCACGGCAGGGTCCAAAGCTTTCCTACAGTTTGTGGAGTAATAGTCTATGATCCATAAAGGGAAAAAATATGGGACCAGAATAATCCACTGTGCCCTCCCCACACAGCCCTAAGGCAGAGTTTACCAGTGCTCTGAATCAGCTTCAGAGGCAACAAATTTATAAAAAATATGGGACCAAAATAATCCACTGTGCCCTCCCCACACAGCCCTAAGGCAGAGTTTACCAGTGCTCTGAATCAGCTTCAGAGGCAACAAATTTATAAATGCTTAAAGAAAGTGTTAAGTTCATGGATACAAAACTACACAAAACCCTTCTAGATAAACTAAATACAGAGGATCCTAGAGTAAAGAACAAATGTCAAGGCTACATCTGAATTGGATCTTATGTGAGTCTGAGCTATGCACACAAGATGACTAAGAGAGTTCATCTGAAGATGGCCTGGGTGATTCTGATCTTAACGGAGATTTTAGTCAATTCATAATCTTTATCTGTGTCATTGAACTGGCTAAAAACAGAAAATTTAAATGCTTGTGCCAGCAATACCAATTGCAAGGGCAAAAATACGCCACCTGTTGCCTTCATCTAAAAGGAATTTCTTCTACTTACACTTCAGAAGTCAAAAAATATGTATTCAAATGACTAAAACATGTTATATGAATGAATTATATTTCCATTCATTATGATAAAGAAAATTTGGACAGTAACTCCATTTTATGTAATTTTTCACATAACCTTCAACTTCTCCTAAAACTTTCTATAAATAGATAAAATCGGGCTGGAGAGATGGCTCCATGGTTAAGAGCAGTGGCTGTTCTTCCAGAGGTCCTTGAGTTCAATTCCCAGCAACCACATGGTGGCTCACAACCATCTGTAATGAGATCTGGTGCCCTCTTCTGGCATGCCGACAGAACACTGTATACATAATAAATAAATCTTTAAAACAACAACAACAAACAAACAAGTGCAAACCCTAGTCTTTAACTGTGTGAAGTTTGTTGCTTGTTTTGGACTCTGTTACATAGATAGACGGCCTCCCAGTGAGAGGAAGCAGAGTCACAAGCCCATCGGTGCTCCATGGATGTGGATTACATGAATTGTTACTCTTGCTTAGCTGGGATTTTTGATGTCTTTAAACATGTTCATAAAAGTAACTCCGGTTACTCATTGGTTCTCAGTTCTCTTGGGCAGGATCATTTCTTTGGCCTGATGAGGGTCACGTATACCTAGAGGAAGCTGCGCAGCGCACACAGCTTTGTCAAAATAAACTTGACCCACTGAGACATTAAGGCTGTTCTGACCAGCCATGTCATTTCAGATTTGCACCTAAGAGTTTGTCTCCTTCTATATTCGAAATCATGAGTCCACAGCTAAATCGTCAATGCACTTTACTTTTTGGGCTCTTCCAGAATATCAATTCACATACTAGCAATCAGTATTTTTTTTAATAGGAAAGATTAAAAGATTAAAGTTTTTACAACAGAGTGCCACTTACCCCTCCTGCCTTCAGCAACTTTCTTCTGAAGTCTTCTGTGGGGTTATTGAAAGTAAGCTTCTCACAGCGGAGGTGATTCACTGGTGGGTGGCCTTCAAGATGCAGGAATAAGTCATAATCAAAGCGGACTTTCTTAGGTTCTTCCTGGAGGTTAAGGAAAGTAAGAGGCAAAAATAGAAAATTTAAAAACAAGACTTAATCATCATAAGGAACAGAAAAGACCTAGACATTTAACAGTCATGTCAAAGTAGTTCTGAAAAAGATTATTCTGGGATTATATATAAAGCAACCTACAAATATGTGTAAATTTCATTTGCGTTAGGAGAAAACTAAAAAGAATAAACTTACCATTTCCCCTTGGTTTCTCAAGTAGAGCACACCATGAACACAGCCACCCAATGGAAACCTATGTTATTCCTTCTACTTCCCACCTTACCCTCAGCACCTACCATCAAGACTTTCACCCTACTGCCATGTTTACTACTGTCCAAACTATGACAAATCCTACCTCTACTAGGCCTTCCTATAATGCATTTTTCTCAATCTTTCCATCATTCAGCCTTCAAAATAATCTATATAATCAAATGTCTACTCACTTTCATTCCTTGGTTAAAATTTCAACAGCTTGCAATGGATATCAGCTTAAAAATCTAATGAGACATATATGCCACATAAGAACCTTCCTAATTTGGCTCTGGGACTCTGGTCTCAATATACCACCTTTACCCAGCTGATGGTCAGCTCTCCCTCAGCTGCCATATGCCTATGCTGTGTGTCCTCACAAAGGTAGTGCTGATTGCTTATCACCATTAAAGCTCATAAAACTCATCCTCTGTTCTTTGGCCTCCATCATTCATCACAGTCAAATTTTCTTCCAGTTCTACCTAGACTTCCTCTTGTTAACTCCCTACTCTCTGGCCACCATAACTTGTCTTAGCTTAGACCATCACTACTTCTCTGCTTTCAAACTGGCCTCAGTCTACATTCTATAATGACAAGTGACTGATTTTTTTCTAATGCAAAAAAAAAATCTGATTATCATTCCATTACTTTTTTTTTAAAGCCTTTAAAGGCTCATCATTTTCAGTGATATAATCTCATTTCTTGCAACAACTAGCATAGTCTTTCACTACCTTTCCTGTATTTTATTTGCTTTCTTACAATACTCTCTCCTTCTACACTTCTGAAGGTCTTGACGTTCCCACACGTCTTATGTTCTTACTGATTTTGGCTTTCTCACAGAAAGCTCCCACACCTAAAATGGCCATTATATTTCCCTACAGGGCTAAATATGCTAAAATAAACTGGCCATTGAAGATCAGCAGAAGTGCTAGCTCCTCTGTAGAGACATCCTAGCCCTCCCATTGCAACCTGAACTAGACATTTCTCATACACCTCTCCTCTACTACTGTAACTATCACACTGAATTATGATAAAATTTGCCTCATCTCACCTCAAAATTGATAACTATTCAATGCAACCTTAGAATTAAGAAGGTAGGCAATGGTCTACCTTGAAACTGGCAGCGAAACTAATAAAGACATTTTTAATCAATTTGGTAACATCTAGCAATAATAAATGCTCATGCTATTTGATTCTAGCACTAAGAATCTCTTGAATATAAATATTCAAATATGAGTGCAAATATTCATGATGGCATTGACTAACAGAAAAACTTAAGAATGAGCTCTGTTCTGCCACAGACTATAATTCAGATAGCTTACAGATTTATTTACTTTATTTTATGGGTAGGTATTTGAGTGTATATATGTATATCACACAGGTACAGGTGCCCACAAAGGTCAGAAAAGGGCATAAGATCCCTCTCAAACTGGAGTTATAGGAAGTTGGGAGCCGCCTGATGTGGGTACTGGGAAGCAAACTGAGATCCACTACAAAAGCAGTCAGTGCTCTTAATCGCTGAGCCATTTCTCCAGCCCCTCCATTACGATATTTTAAATTACTACTTGGAGATATAGATAAATTAATGGTAACTCACAGAAAAATATTAAAGTATGACATAGCATGATCCAGCCAGTCTCCACACTGACATGTTTTTAACATGCAGACACATGGAGAGAAACTTGAAAACAGCTATATCAAATACTCAACAGTCATTAGGTGGAATTAAGGGAATAAAATTACTAAATTTTATTCCATATTCTTTTAATAAAAACATCCACTCTTGTGTACTTTTAAAGAAAAATATATTAACAAATGTAACCAATTACCACCAAAACAATAAAGGAATGAAGTAAAAATAGCATCCTCATAAGTCCTCAGAAGGTATAAACAAAAGACAAAGCCATCGCTTTTCAGAAAAACCTAAGGATAAAGACTAGAGAAGCTCCTTCTGAATCTTCGGTACAAGCATCTCTTAAAGGTTTTTTGTCTTATTTGTTTGTTTGCTTTAATTTAGTGAAGGGGAAAATGCCCACAAAGTTGTGTTCGGGTCAACTAGAAATCTCTACTTAGAAAGTAGACATCATTATGATGTTAAGCTTTGCTCCTCAGAAAAGATTATTCCTCAAAGTTCAAATAAAAGGAGCTAGAGATATGGCTCAACAGCTAAGAGCACTTCTTGTTCTTACAAAGGACCCAAGTTCGATTCCCAGCACCCAAATGGTGGCTCACAACAGTATACAACTCCAGTTAATGGAAGAATCAACAATTAACTCCAGTTCCAGAGTATCCAATGCCCTCTTCGGACCTCTGAGAGGACCAAGCACACATGTGGAACACAGATAAACATGCAAGCAAAACACTCAAACACATAAAATAAATCTAAATAAGAAAAGTGTGTATTTGTTCCAAATATAAAACAAATACGTTTCCTGGAGTGGCAATCTGGTTTGGTAACATCAGATTCCCGCTCATGTTATAAGCTCCAGTCCTTGTCATTTACTCACATACTGTCTCTGAGGACAGGTTAAGAAAGAGAAGCATGGGGCCTTTTCAAACTAAAGCACCAGGATTGAATGTGTTTCAATGTGGATGTTGTTTTTGGCTTCTGAAACACAAATGGTTTTCATAGACAGGCTGGTTTTACTGTACTCAGATACACAATGAGACACATGGAGACCCAGGAGAGCAACTTAGACTCTGCTAGCCCTCTTGACTCTGATGTTTCAAATCAATAAGCAGAATTAAGACATACTCATCAGAGCAAGCCCAGTACTGGGAGAAGAAGGGTGTATTTCTCATGAGCAGAAAACTGAGACTCATCACCCAGGAAAACTGTGCACACATTTTGTTCTAAACCATTACTACAGTGCACACTCACTCAACGAGACCACAAATACTTATAATAAATAAAATAAGAAACACTCAAAATGAAATAAAATTCTGCAGAAACAACCTACAGTAACTAAATATTTTACACATTAGTCAGTTCAGTCAAAAGAAAAACAATGTGTCCATCCAGCCTGGAGGGACACTATACTAAATGAAATAAGCCAGTCTCCGAAGACAAGCACTGAATGAGTCACTTACATGAGGTATTTAAAACAGTTAAGGTAATCAGAGTCTGAGATGCGGGGGAGTTGTTAACATTAGCACTGCACTGCAGTATACAAAGCAAGGAAGATCCTGGGGCCCTCCACAGCACTGAATCTATCAGACAGGAGCAGCAGCACAGTCCACATGTCAGCGCTTTTAAGATGGTTTGGGGTGTGGAGGCACATGCTTTAAACCTCAGGCTGGCCTCAAACGCATGAAGCCTGGCATGCCTGCCTCTGCTTCCCAAGTGCAGGGGTCATATCCAAGCTGAAGCCAGTACAGTGCCAGATTTACATGGACGACAGAAGGGAGTCTGCCCACAGTCACGTCCTCTCGCAGGAAATCAGAGACCTTTACTCTTAGAGAGAAATCCTTTGGGAGAGAAGGCCTAGATTCTTCCAACAGTATAATCCAACCACCGGGTAAGTATGACAGGATGCAAGAAGCCCTACATGATCTTCATTGACTAAATATCCACGATACTACAAAGTGGTGGCTGTGAAAGGAAAAAAGACTCCGAATTCCTTCTCACAAACACAACTATTGAAAAACACAACGGAAAGTGAGAAAAGACATTTCTCCAAAGAATATAAATAAATAGACAACATCCCAAGTCATCAGAGAAATGCAAATCAAAGCCACAATGAAGGGCGGTTTCCCAACCACCAGGGTAATTATAATTAAAAAGAAAACTATGAACACAAAAACCATTAGAGAAATTCAAATTTTTATATACTGCTAAAGGGAATATAAAATGCATAAAGTGGCATGATGACTTTGAAAATAATTAGTAGTTTCCCCAAAAGTTAAACGTAAGTATATACAATAGGACCAAATAATCCCAGGGGGATTTCAAAACCTGGGTCAACACAAAAACCAGTAAGTGACTATTCAGAGAGGCATCACTCCTAATAGTCACAAAGTGGAGACAAGTCAAATGGCCATCAACTTACAAATGAAAAACAAAATGTGAATTATTTATACAATGGAATATTATTCAGGTATAAGAAAGAATCAGTATTAAGATATCTCATAACAAGGATGAATTCCACTTCTCAAAAGTTCTTATAAACTTACTAAATAAAATAACATGTAAAGCACTTAGCCTCTGGTCAAGGACAAAGTAAGAAACCCAACGAGTAAGTACAGGACAATGGTACTGTCAAGTATGTCTGCCTGTCTCTCTGTTTCTTTGTCTCCTCTCTCTCTCTCTCTCTCTCTCTCTCTCTCTCTCTCTCTCTCTCTCTCTCTCTCTCTCTCTCTCTCTCTGTGTGCGTGTGTGTGTGCGTGTGTGTGTGTGTGTGTGCGCGCGCGCGTGCATACACCCTAATTAACAGGCTTGTTAAAGATGAAATGGCAGAAGTGTGGTATATAGAAACATACAGTGAGAAGGAAAAAATATAAAAAATAAAACATACCCAGTTATTGATGCATTCTTATTTTACAGGATGGGTTTATTGTAGTTTTATATCTCTTAGTCACAAGGAAATCTTTAATGACTTGAAAGGCTAAGCCTTGTACACACAGAAAAGCTACTGTTGCTGTGGAAAATCCTGAGTGTTAAAGAATGGCTTGTCACGGCTCTGATCCTGTCCTGAGCACCAAAGTCATTCAATATGATCTGGGAAGTAAGTATGCAGATTCCTAGGCTGCACCCCAGGGACGCTGCTCGCATAGATCTGGCGGACTGTGAAAATGTTGGTCTAATCTGCTCTTGGGAGCTGCTGCTGCTGTCTCCAGGACCAGACTTAATGGAATGCTGGCTTAAAGAACAGACTTCTGTTTTCTCGGTTGCTTTTGTGTTTATTTTGAAAGTGACCTGTCTCACTTTAGGGCATATTTAGAACCTATGATAACTTTGAATTAAAAGTAAGGAATGGTACCATTTAAAAACTGCAAGCACTACTGCAGGCCTGACATGGAGCTGAACGCTCTCCTTGGGGGAAACCAAAATCACTGATCCAATGACTACAGAGCAGAAAGCAGTAGCTTTGGCAGGCAAGGGCGTGGGCTCTTAGTGGTAGGTCTACTGGCTTCACCACTCACACACAGTCCATTGCAGTTTACAGAGCTATTTGGTACCTACTCGTCTTCAAATGTATAGCATCAAGATAAAAAGGCAAGAATCTATCGTGTTTATAAACAAAACCCAGAAAACTAATGCTGAAAAGAAGCGCAGCACTTAACAAATGTACACTTATAAATGAGACAGTGTAACAAATATTCCACACATCATCCTTACATACAATCTTTCTAACCACCTTCTGAAGTGGGCACTCCTACCTCCCTATGTAGGGAATAAGGGAAGCCCCAGAGAGGTTCAGCAATCGCCCATGCCATACAGTCTGCATATTCTGCTCCAAACGTAGTGGTGACATCTTTTAAATGCAGTAGAACCTGTAATCCCTCAGGCTGAAATAACGTTTTATACTGGCCACATATATTTATCATCTAAAGATAATACGAGATTGTTTTTTATAATCCTAAAAAATTCTAGCGATATGACAAGACTAGGAGCACTTCCTGGAAAAACTCTAATTCATCTTTTCTATTTTACAAACCTCTCTCACCTTTTTCAGAATGGTAATCATTCTTCCAAGAAATATTTAGTGGATTTTATATAACCTGACTTTATGATTGAAATTATCTTTTTATAGCCACTTCCTCTGTGATTAAAGAGCTATGATAACCAAAATTCTTCAGTCAAGTTTAGCTTTAACATTATATAGTGTGAAAAGTGTTTATCAATGATTATTTTAAACATAATTTGGTTAACAGAAGATCTTCTAAGAGATAAATGGGTAAAGATTACATACCTTGTTTTTAAAATAAACCTCAATTGGCAATATGAAACCAGCATACCCAGACTCTTCTACTTTGTAAGGTGGATCTTTGCACACTGCAAAATTAAAAAGGAAAATAGGAAAGATGAGACTAACAGACAGAAAGACATGGTTAAAAACATAAACATTCTACCATCCATATCATGCCCAATTTTCACGGCCCTTTCTCATTTCACAACTGAGTCTCTGATTTCTTTTTCTCTGGGACCCAGAACAATAATTCTCCTATCTATATTTTTTAATTAAAATCTGGGTGGAGTACAACTCATTACAGTCAACCATGGTCACAGTGAGTGACTTAATTATAATTCTCAGAAACAGGACAGGGCCTGTGATCAAAGCTCAAAAGAACCAAATGAACTACAGAGTTTCCTAAGTAAAGAAACATCCAAATCTGGGAGCTGAGGAAACTCACTCCCTGCCTAAGCCTCTGTTGTCTGAGGTGTCCTGGGTGGCCTCCTTCCTCAGAAGACCGAAACCCCGGCGCTGTCACTTCTTCTCATGCATGACCTTTCCCAGGTCACAAAAATAAGTTTCAATGAGATTCCACCACAACACATTCAAAACCCAATTTCATTCCTCTAAATTTTCTACATCAAAATCAATCACAAGCGAACTGAATTTATTCTTGTTAAGTGTTGTGGGCCAGAGAGGTAGCTGGGAAGTTGAGAGCACTTGCTCTTGCAATAGACCTGGGTTCGGTATCCAGCACCCACATGGCACCTCACAACTTCAGTTCCAAAGGATCTGCTGCCATCTTCTAAGCTCTGCAGACTCCTGCATGCATGTGGTACACATAAACACTCAAGTGCATGCGCGCGCGCGCGCACGCACACACACACACACACACACACACACACACACACACACACACACACAGTATAGTAAGTATCTTTAAAAGCAGGTGGTTTTATAATGTGGGTTTGTTTGTTTTCTGTTTTTTGTTTTTTTTTAAACAGGGTTTCTCTGTGAAGCTTTGGAACCCTTCCTGGAACTCACTCTGTAGCCCAGGCTGGCCTCGAACTCAGACATCCACCTGTCTCTGCCTCCTGAGTGCTGGGATCAAAAGCGTGTGCCCCCATCACCACCGCCCAGCTTGTGGCTTCATCATGTAACAAGGTAAAACTAGATATGCTAAATATCAAGATGCATACTCCAGGACACTGAGTCCTTACCAGCAGCCCAGGTCACCTTCCCAGGTTCCCCCCACCCACCCGCTGTGTTTCCCACCACGGCCCTGTGCTTCACTCAAACTCTGCTTCCCCTCAAACATGCACAGCAGTTCCCACCAATGCTCAATGCTTCCCCCACCCCCATACTCTTCCTTATGTATCCAAATCCCAATTTCTTCCCAAAGTCCCTCTGCCCCACAGAGTACCTCCTTATACCCACCCAAAGCATTAATTATCTAAATCACTACTCTGAAACTAAACAGAGTTCCTTCTAACCTGTTTATTCCCCTTTCCCCAGGGACAGGGAAGAAAACACACACTGTTTTACCGTGGGAAATTAAAGTGTACGTCAGGTGGTCAGGGTGTAGCAGCTGGCATACCTGAGTGCCAGTCTACCATCTAGTCCAAACTCCAGTCTTCCTCCCAAAGCCACCTCGCTTCTCTGAATCTTGGAATCCTCTTCTCAACAGTTTGAAGAGTAAGCATGGTGACTGCCATATACTGAATGTTTATGTTCCCCAAAAATTCACATGTTGACACTCTAATCTCTGATGTTAGTGGAATCCCATGAGTTCTTGGAGAGGTGATTAAGATGGTAAAATCTTCATGAATGAGTTTACTCTGTATTTCCCACCCTCAAAGAAGCTTCTGTTCCCAGTAGATGCAATTAACACAGAGATCCACAACTGGCTAAGGTGCAGAGACTATGAGACCATGGACTGCTTAGCCCTGAATGGAACATCTATCCTGTACCCCCTCTTCCCCAGGTTCGGGAGAGTTGCAGAAGGTGGGGGGTGGGGGTGGGGATGACTGTAAGAAACAGAGGCAGTGCATGAACACAGAGAAACAACATCCTCTGGACACAACATACAGCTCCATACATGAACTCAGCAGTTGTGGCGATGACCCCTGTGCAAACTCAAGCAAGACCAACCCGGTGTGGAGAGGGGAGGAGGAGATGGAACCTCCCCCTCAGCTGACAAGCTATTCACAGCTGATGAATGTTGGGAGTTTTGCCGCTAGTAGGTCGACCATGCTCCAGTGGGAGGTTACAGAGCTGTGGATATCTGGACTGTACAAACTGGACATGATGGGGGGGGGACACAAAGTTGGGAGGGAAGGGATGGTGGAGCTGGGAGGAATGGGGGTGTGTGTGAAAATGGTCAAAACTCAATTCCTTGTGAAAAATTCTCAAAGTAGTAGTAGTAGTAGTAGTAGTAGTAGTAGTAGTAGTAGTAGTAGTAGTATCCGAAGATTCTCTGATCATTTCCACTATGTGAAGCCACAACAAGAAGCCCATCAACAATCCTAAACAGAATCCTCACATCAGAATCTGCACATGATGGCACCCTGACAGCAGACTTCAGGTCACCAGAATTAACAAGAAATAAATGTCTCCTGTTTCTAAGCTACCAGGTCTACTGTACTCTATAACTACAGCTTGAACGAACCAAGAAGATGCTATATATACACAATGCAGCAAGGGGCCCCATGTATAAACCCATTCTCATGCAAGCCAGGAAATCCAGCCCTAAGATGTCCAATCACCACATAACCTCTCAGATGAAAACAAAATGGAAACAGGAAGAGGGGAGGCTTGGATTTGGATCACAGGACTGTGATCCATGGCCTGGGGCTGGAGAGCTGTACACAATTTCTGCTTTCTTTCTCTCTAACAGGGGGGAAAAACATCATCTACACACCCAAAAGCATAGCTGTAACGTGCAAGGTGATTATATGTAGGGAACACTATAAACATGATGTGTTCTATTTAAAAAAAAAAAAAAAGCTGATTTACATGAATACTGGCTACACACGGCACAGACAGGAATATGGTTCCACAGACATGAATGGACAACAAGGTTTGCTTTTGTTTTCAGTTGACAGTGTTTTGCAGTGTAGCGTAGGCTGGCCTGGAAATCTTGGTCCTCCTGCCTCAATCTCCTGAGGACAAGGATTACAGATAGGCCATGTACCACCAAACCAGCTGAAGGCAAGATGTTAATGTCCAACCATCTCCTTCAGCCCACCTGATGACAATTCCCTCCCAAATTGACATCAGAAAAAGTCAGGAATTAAGCAACTCACTTTATCTGGTATGTTTTTCTAATATAAATAAAAAGAAAGAGAGCAAAAGGACCCAGAGTAGTGGCAGTCACTCATCCACTGACCACCTGCCAACCTTCATGAATATTCAAACGACCTGAACTCTGGAGTGAACATGCAGCCCCACCCAGTGGACTTGTGGCAGGCATCACTACACTGGTGGTATTTCTAAGCTGTGAGGCTCTTGCAAAATAGCAATTTCACTGCAGGAAATCCTCAAAGAATTAATGAAAATATTTTTAGACGTTAGTATTGGTGTCTACAAGGTTGCTTGGGATTAATCATGCCAGTGTCATTTGAAGGAAGTTTATTTTGTGGGCTGCTGCACCCGCCGGGGAGTCAGAGCTGCTCCTCTCGGCACCCTTTTGTAGAATTCATTTTCTCCATTCTGCATGCAAATTGCTCCAATTATAGGAAACAGCTGTTAGTGGGTATGTCTTCGAATTGGAAATCTTGGGATTATTTTTTTCAGCCTCCTAAAGGAAGTGATCTGCTGTGTATTAATATTCTTTAAAAGTCGGTTTCCATAAGAAAATATTTATTAACTTATACCTCAATTATTTTTAAATGTAAAATTTTCATTTGCAACCAACAACATCTATCCAGCACCCTGAGTTCTTAATTAGAAGTAAACAATAGGGTCAGCAAGGTGGCTCAGCCAGTGAAGGCCCTTGCCACCAAACATGACTTCCTGAGGTCAATCCCTGGAACACACACAAGGAAAGAAGACAACCAACTTCCTCAAGCTATCCTCTGATTTCCACACATACGTGCATGTGTACATACACACGCGCGCGCGCGCGCGCGCACGCACACACACACACACACACACACACACACTAAATTTAAATATAATAAAAAATGTTTAAAAGACAAATTAAAACGGTGTGTATGTGTGTAAATGTACATATATGTATGTTCATGCAAGTGCGCATGAATGCACCTATGGAAGCCAGAGGTCAACTTTGAGTGTCATTTCCCCCTCAAACACTATGTGCCTTTTGTTTTGGCTTGGTTTTGGTTTTTTGAGACAGGATCTCATTATGTAGCCCTGCCTGTCCTGCAACTCACTCTGTAGCCCAGGCTGGCCTGTAACACAACAGAGATCTGCCTGTCTCTGCCTCCCAGAGTGCTGGGGTTAAAGGCGTGTGACACTATGCTCAGCCATGTACCTTATTTTTGAGACAGGATTTCTCACTGACCTAGTGCTTGACTAAGACTAAGACAGTTAGACAGCAAACCTCATGGGCATGCCTGTCTCTCCCTTCCCAAACCAGAAGTATAGGAGCATACCAATGTGCCCAGTTTCCACACTGGTTCTAGAGGTCAAACACTGGTCCTCACACTTGCACTGCAAGCCCTTGTCTGACAGAGCTATCTCCTAGTCCAAAACATTTTAGATAAAACCAACATAAGAGAAAAAAAAAAAGCAATATAAACGTAAATATATAGTTCTCATCCGAAAATCTGGGGACTTTCCTCACTCTGGCATATAAGAATCCTAAACACAAGTCTCTGAGCTAGTTCTATAAAAGAAGCAGAATTAGACTTGAAGAATAATTCCTGTGGGGACAGTACTTTCCTAAAACAGCTCCTCAAAACAGTAGACACAACACAGATACTAACATGTAATGTATGGCATAACACTAACTATACATACTGAACATTAGCCTATTTAATTTTGGTCTTGAAAAATCATACAAGAGGAAGAAAAACACATAGGAAGACAAAAGGCCATAACTTCGTTAACTAAGAATAAGGTTAATCTTACATTTATT